GAGGTCATAGAAACTGTGAACCAGGAAGTGGGAAAGATTAGTGAGGGTGAAGTTCAGAAAGCTCTGAAAAGAATGGAGATGGGGAAGGCAGTAGGACCTGATGACATACCAGTGGATGTGTTTTGAAGAGATGACAGTGAGGTTTTTGACTCAAATTATCAATCACATATTTGAGGGTGAGAAAATGCCTGAGGAATGGAGAAGAAGTGTGCTGGTGCCCATTTTTAAGAACAAGGGTGATGTACAGAGTTGTAGCAACTACAGGGGAACTAAGTTGATGAGCCACATGATGAAGATCTAGGAGAGAGTTGTGGAAGCAAGACTTAGACGAGAGGTGACTATCTGTGAGCAGCAGTATGGTTTCATGCCAAAAAAGAGTACCACAGATGCCATCACCATTTGAGGATGCTGATGGAGAAGTACAGAAAGTGTCAGAAAGAACTCCATTGTGTCTTTGTGGATTTAGAAAAACCAGATGACAGAGTGCCGAGGGAGGAGGTGTGGTATTGCATGAGGAAATCTGGAGTGGCAGAAAAGTATGTTAGACTGGTACAGGACATGTATGAGGACAGCAGGACAGTGGTGAGATGTGCTGTAGGAGTGACAGATAGCTTCAAGTGGAGGTGAGAATGCATCAAGGATCGGCTCTGAGCCCCTTCTTGTTTGCTCTGGTGATGGACCGACTAATAAATGAGGTTGGGCAGGAATCCCCATGGACTATGATGTTTGCAGATGACATTATGATATTTGGTAAAACGTGGGAACAGGTGGAAGAGAACTTAGAGAGATGGAGTTATGCACTTGAAAGAAGAGGGATGAAAGTCAGTCGTAGTAAGACAGAGTACATGTGTGTGAATGAGAGGGAGGCCGGTGGAACAGTGAGGCTACAAGGAGCAGAGGTCACAAAGGTGTAGTACTTCAAGTACTTGGAGTCAACTGTCCAAGAAAATGAGGAATGTGAGAAAGAAGTGAAAAAGAGAGTCCAGGCAGGATGGAGTGGATGGTGAAAAGTTTCAGGAGTGATTTGTGACAAAAGTGTGTCAGCAAAGGTCAAAGGAAAAGTTTACAAGACAATGGTGAGACCAGCTATGTTGTTTGTTCTGGAGACAGTGGCATTGACAAAGACAGGAGAAAGAGCTGAAAGTGGCAGAAATGAAGATGTTGAGGTTCTGCTTAGAAGTGACAAGGATGGATAAGATTAGGAATGAGATTATCAGAGGTACAGCACAGGTTGAACAACGGGGAGATAAAGTTAGAGAGGCCAGACTGAGACTCAAAGCAGTCTGCTCCTCAGATAAATAGTGCTGAATTATTATTTTTATATATGAATGTTTCTGGTCAGTGTCCTGAAATGACTAATATTGTGATTTGGAGCTATATAAATAAAGTGAATTGAATGTACTTATATAGCGCCTTTCTATCTATTCAAGACACTCAAAGCGCTTTACACTACAAACTTTGTCCTCATTTACCCATTCATACAGCACTCTAGTAGATCTCTACAAAGCTAATTGAACAAATATTTCTAAAGCGATTAATCAGAGCTTTGTCACATTCATATACTGATGGGACACACATCGGAGGCAATGAGGGGTTCAGTGTCTTGCCCAGAGACACTTCGGCATGTGACTACTGGTGGATTCGAACCCCCAACTCTTGCATTGGAGGACGACTGCTCTAACCATAGATGAGGAACGTAGATCGACTGGTAAATCGAGAGCTTCGTCTTTTGACTCAGCTCTTTTTTCACCACAACATACCGGTACAGCGCCCGTTTCACTGCAGACGCCGCACCTATCTGCCGATCTATCTCTCGCTCCATTTTTCCCTCATTCTTGAACAAGACCCCGAGATACTTAAACTCCTCCACTTGGGGCAGAACCTCCTCCCCGACTCGGAGAGGGCACTCTACCCTTTTCCGGCTCAAGAACATGGCCTTGGATTTGGAGGAACTGATCCTCATCCCGGCCGCATCACACTTGGCTGCAAACCGCTCCAACGAGAGCTGTAGATCATGACCTGATGAAGTCAATAAGATCACATCATCTGCAAAAAGCAGAGACGTGATCCTAAGGCCACCAAAACGGATCCCCTCAACACCTTGGCTGCACCTAGAAATTCTGTCCATAAAAGTTATGAACAGAATCTGTGACAAAGGGCAACCTTGGCCGAGTCCAACTCTCAATGGTAATGAGCCCGACTTACTGCCGGCAATGCGGACCAGGCTCTGACACTGGTCATACAGGGACTGAATGTCCAATCCATCTATTCAGGGCGGCTGTGGCTGAGTGGTTAGGATGCCTCCTGGACGTCTCCCTGGTGAGGTGTTCCGGCCACGTCCCACTGGGAGAAGACTCAGAGGAAAACCCAGGACACACTGGAGGGACTATGTTTCTCGGCTGGCCTGGGAACGCCTTGGGATTCCCCTGGAGGAGCTGGTCTAAGCGGCTGGGGAGAGGGAAGTCTGGGCCTCCCTACTTAGGATGCTACCCTGGATAAGTGGAAGAGGATGGATGGATGGATGGATGGATGGATGGATGGATGGATGGATGGATGGATGGATGGGTGGATGGGTGGATGGATGGATGGATGGATGGATGGATGGATGGATGGATGGGTGGATGGGTGGGTGGGTGGATGGATGGATGGATGGATGGATGATGGGTTGGACATGTCCAGAGGAGGGTCAGTGGGTATATTGGCAGAAGGATGTCAGAAATGCAGCTGCCAGGAAAAAGACAAAAAGGAGATATATGGATGCAGTTAGAGAGGACATGGAGGTAGTTGGAGTGAGGACAGAGTGAGATGGAGGAGGATGACTCACTGTGGCGACCCCTGAAGAGGGAAGAGACAAAAGAAGAATCTCTGCAGCTGGACCCCATCCAGCCATCATCTTTACCCGCTTCTTCCTTTTTTGGGTCGCAGGGCTCACTGGTGCCCATGTCCAGCAATCACTGTGCAAGAGGCAGGGGACACCCTGGACAGGTCTCCAGTCCATCACAGGGACACATAGAGACAAATGATACAAACAACCATTCACTCTCCCACTCTCACCTAGGGGCAATTTAGAGTTACCAATCAGCCTAACATGCATGTTTTTAGTCTGTGGGAGGAAATCGGAGTACCTGAGAAAACCCATGCATGCACAGAGAGAACATACAAACTCCACCCAGAAAGGCCCCTGGACCAGGATTTGAACCAGGGTAACCTGCTCGCCGAGAGGCAGCAGCTCTACCAGTTGCACCACCTACAGCCAGACTCTTTGTTGTTGTTTTTTCATTTACCCTTTATTTATACAGGCAGTCTCATTGAGTCACGAGAGAACTCATTTTCAAGAGCGAACTGTTTAGGAAGCAGATGGTGGGGGCAAATGAGGGTGGAGGCAGGTGTGGGTGTTTCACCTTTTCCACCCACATTTTGATGTTGATGGTACCAGGAGTTCAACCACAGTATAGTATTAGGAGCCACTTCGCTCCGATAGCGCCCCCCCACACACACACACACACACACTCACACACACACACACACACATACACCTGTGATGTGTGCTTGACCCTTCTTTTAAAATGAAACCACAGTGCCAGTGCTTTAAAGTCAACACCATTAAAACCTTTCTCAGCTTTGTGAGAAATGTGGCACCCCAACACAACTAATTCTCAAAAGAACAATGACAACCTGACTCAAACTGTTCTCAATGGTTCAGTTTGGTTTTAGTGGTTTTAAAGAGTATTTTTATTCACAGAGTTAAAATGACTGTCAGTGGTTTAGAAAACAAAGTACCTAGTTCTTTCACTGAAGTCACAGTTGCTGTAAGTAAAGCCATGTTGCTCCCTACTGGTCAATGTATGCAACTAAACTGGGCTAGTTCAGTGTTGCTCAGTACAAATCTCAAATAAGCCAGATAACATTAAAATAAAAAAGGGTCACTAGTCTTACTTTAATGTCCAACTTACCACTTTCAAACATTTTTATTTTATCCAGGATTACACTTATTTTTTGTCAAATTTAAAAAGGACAGATTGTAAAAACCTTGACCTCAACTTGGCATTCTCCCAGTTTTGTTTCAGCACAACCTGTAATTTAGAATAATTTTAATTAGGCCGTAGCTTCATTTGCACAACTATTTCTTCGAGATGCAAAATATGTTTTTGGTTTTTCCCTCACAAATTTCTCTGTATTTTACTCCATCCATTTTAGGCTGCAGCTTTGCACAACCCTGAAGAGACGGGTAAAGAAAATGGAGAAGGGACAGTTTTATTTTCTGTTAAACTGACCACGTTTTCAGGCCCTGCTGATGAAAGTCCTACCCACAGCATGGTGCTGCCACTACTGTGCTTCACTGTGGGTATGGTCTTTTCAGGCATTATCTTCATTTTCTAAAAACTGCTCAGTGGGATGCTCGAAAGTTGACAATTTTCCACACTGATCTGTGCTACACAACTTTTTCTCAGACCTAAGAATTCCTTGGTCTTCATGTCTTTTTGTTTGGTGGTATCCCTCTCCATTTAGATGTGTTGCACTGGTGTTCAATGTCAGAACAGGTATGTCCTTATATAGCACTTCGTTTGCACTGAGCAAGCAGTTGAGGCTTAAAAAGGAGGGAAGTGCATATCACTTTTTAAAAATTTTAATGTATTATTTTAACCTTTCAAAACACTGTACTCATTTAACATTCAATTCTAGATTAATTGCTTTCAATCAAATTTAAACACCTTCCTGTAAGGCAACAAAATAGAATATTAGAAGGTGAATACATTTGCAACCCTGCAAAAAAAGACTAGCACCACAGAATAACACACCCACCACCAGTCGGTTCTCTGAAATAATATAGAGAGATTTTACAAATGCATTTAATTCATGTTTCTTTTGTGCACAGTGACAAACATGCAGCTCAGTGGAGAAAATTTGTTAAAGTACAAAACTACATATAACAATTTTCAACTACTGTGATGACTCACACTGAACGGTTTAGCTTTGTGTAACTGTAGCTCCACCTTGCTCTGATCTTTGTGCATGGTTCAAGTATGAGAAGCAGTTTTGTATGAATTTGTTAAGTGTGCTGATCTCAAAGATTCTTTTGTCATCTTGAACAAAAGGTCGTCTGCAACGCTGCTTATCAGCGGGTGATCTTGTAAACCTCATCTCCGACTTGCAGGATGCCCGTCTTCTTCACAGTGAGCAGCTGTCCAAACAGTGGAGCAGCTTTGTAGATGTGCTTCTCAGATGGTTTGCACATTCGATAACTGGAGAAAAATTTTCATCGGAAAGTGTGACGAAACCATTAAATACTTTGTCCCATCTAACATTCATGTAAAACAGAGATAATTTACTTTAATCTGTGCAGAGATAATACAAATAACTTTGTTGTAATTTTAGAATTAATAAAAAGAGGTTTACATATTAAAGTAATGAACACATTCAAAAAAAATGTGGCTTTTATTGCAAATAAACCCATAAATCCAGTGGACTGCGCTTTATTAAAGCAAAGGCAGGCAATGTTTTTGTGCATGTCTGTCTGTTAGTGAAATATCTCGTGTACCACTTGCATTGATTTAAATAAAATATTCAGGAAACAATCACTGGATATATATTTCTACAACTGCTGAACCGCTGCAGCCAGCTCAGTTCAAGATGGCCACTACAGCTAAGCAACATTAGCAAACACACACACACAAAAAGTAGAATTTATTTGACACCTCATAATATTGCAAGACTGCAAATTATGTTATTTTCCATGTTTGATCAAAATGACTACAACTCTGACAAACTGGCACCAGAAATTGTCCATTGGCTGCCTTGAATTCTAAAAGGTCAGCACAAGCTTTTTAAAACAACAACTCAGTTTACCTCTAGGTGCATCACTTAGAAATAAACTTCTTCATTTTTCACATAAACTGCTTTAACTTCCATGCTGCAAACTCAAATGACCTCACTCGTTGAATTATCAACACATTATTATTAATTTTATTGTCAAATTATCAATTGTCAAATACAGAATTAAATTCAAAATCTTACTTCTAATCTACAAAGCTCTCAACAACCTAGCTCCATCTTATACTGGCAAGAACATATGCAGACATGTTCCTGTTTTTAATTTTCTATACCGCCTTATTTATAATCAAGCTGGGATTTTTTTTATTTTTGCTACTTTTTCCTTTTGACTGTCCATTTGGTTGCCATTTTATGTTAATTTGTAAATAAATAAATAAAATCTGTATGCCTCTTATGATTGTCTATTGTTGTCATTGTTATCCACTGTTGTCATCATTCTTTGTTAAAATCAGGTCTCTCTTTCAAATGAGTCCCCGAGGCTCAATGGGATTAACCTGTATAAATAAAGGTTGAATGAATGAATATTCAAGATCTTATTGTTCCATATTTTCCTAACAGAGCACTTCACTCTCAGACTGCAGGCTGCTCGCTGTTCCTAGAGTTTCCAAAAGCAGAATGGGAGGAAGCTCTTTCAGTTATCAGGCTCCTCTCTTGTGAAACCAACTTCCAGTTTCAGTCCGTGAGGCTGACACATTGTCCATTGTGGGCTTAAGACTTTCCTTTTTGATAAATCCTACAGTTAGGGTTGGCTTGTCATGTTGCCTCAAGCTTAGATTAATGGAGGACAAATTGACCTAATTTCTGTCTTAACATGTGATTCTTGACCTGCCATTGTGTATCTGTTCCTCTCAAACCCAGCCAGCCAAAGCAGATGACCGCTTGTCCTGAGCCTGGTTCTGTTAAAGGTTTCTTCCTCGTGAGGAAGTTTTTCCTTTCCGCTGTCGCCTTCATGCTTGCTCAAGATGAGAATTCTGTGATGGAATTAATTTCAAAGCAGCCTGCTCCTCAGATGAATAGTGTTAACTTGTGTTTTATATATATTTATATTCAGTGCCCTAAGATGACTTCTGTTGTGACTTGGAGCTATATAAATAAACTGAATTGAATTATTACTCATCTGAGGATTAAAGAGGTAGTGGCACTTTGTGGCAGGTCTTTTCTCAGACTTCATTTATGAACATTTTGTAGAAAACTGTGGCGGTCCTTTAAAAATGACCCAGTGTTTGTTTAGCTTGTTCTTGGATACTGTATAAACCTGTCTGTAGATATAAATAGTCTGTTCTAGGGAAACCAAAAAAAGATTATCTAAAGTCTGCCAGAGTGCTCTGAGTGTCCGCTGCCATGGTTCACAGCATATGAACTGATTCAAGAGGACAATGGCACAAACATTTAAATTACAAAAATGACAGAATTGTCATTTGTGTTTTGTAAGGTCAGTTGGCTGCAGCAGCCATTTTGAATAGAGTTGACTCCAAAATGTAACTGGTTGTAGCTGTCCACCCAATGATTACTTTCTGTAAATTTCATTAAGGTTTGTCCAGTTTTGTTTTTTGTCTGTCTGGCTCTCGCTCGAGGTGGCTGCTCCTGCCTTCCCTCACGTTTTTCCTTCCTCCTGCTTCGCTATGTGTGAGTCTGAAGCGCCTGGTTCACATCTCCTGAACAAAAATTAAGATTATGGATCTGGTCACCTGGACTTTCAACGCTATCAACAACATTTTTTTCAACAAAACGACAGGGTCCTGGAGAACCCGCTTGTCTAGCTGAGACTCACGCTGTGGGGTACGTCATGGATCAGTGGGGAGTGTGGCAGCTGATGTGCCTCTCAGTCCCGTCTCAGGAGGATGCTGAAGAGGTTTATAGATTTGGATTTATGAAAGCAGGGACTCTGCTTTTCGGTGTGGCTGTTTTATCAACTATTGAAAAAGACATCGGCAGCAGTTTCAGCCATGACAAAGCTTCTGAGTCAGTATGAAGGTTTGGTTTATGCTGAGAGTACTCAAAATCAGCTGATTTACGAGCTAAACCATAAGGTGGCGGCGATTTATGAGAATCGCAGGCCACCTGTGGCTTCTGGGACTCGTCAGCGCGGTAGGATCGACCTTGAATGGAATCGGCCTTGAAGGAGGCTCATAACATGGATCAGTGGAATGGATTCCCACAAATCAGGCTATTTTAAACCAGAAAGTTCCAGATGAACTTGAGCCTGATGAAAAAATCTGTCTGCCTGAAGAAAATCAACAATCAAAGCTCATCTGAATCAGACTCCCTGTTGGCCTCGGAGACAAGCAGACCATCAAATTTCTCCTGGGTTATGGGTAACCATGGATAAAAGCTTCATCGATCACAACCCCCCGGCTGTATGTACATGTTCTCATTGTATCTCGGTGCAATGATTATTAAGCTTATTCTGATTCTGACTCAAAGGGTCTTGAAATATTTTGCTAAAAGACAGAGACACAAACACACAGACAAAAACCAAAATGGCTATGTTGTGGCAAATGGCACATGATGATACCGCTGGTCATTATTCATGTCTGGTTACTATGGTTACTAATTGTTAAATATCACTAAATAACCTCCCCTGCAGTTAAAATGTTACCTTTTCAGTGTGTCCAAAGGCTCTTTCCTGGTGATTGTACCCGTCTCTGGGTCAACTGTGGTTAAAACGCATCTGGAAAATACAGAAATAAAAAGAATTGCAGGCGAGTTTGCATTCAGTCGTATAAACTCAAGTTAATTAATGTTCCAGAAATCAGGATCCAAACAGCAGCAGCTGCTTCACTAAGCATCAACAGCGTTACCTTCCACACGACATTACACGCTGCAGCCTCACGCTGCCGATCTGGATCTCTTCCCAAGAGTCCTGAAAAACAGAAAACAGTTGGAGATAAAATTAGTCCCTGCTGTTCACAACAAGGGCAAGCTATTAGTCAGAAGTAAAGCACCGGATTATCATTTTATTTTTACAAGAGGAGCAAAAAATAAACTTGTTGAAACTGGTTTTTTTTTATAATTAGTACTAGTTCTAATATTCACATTCTTGTCTGAGCACTGATTTCTCTTAATCACTCACAACCTAAGGAAATATTGTTTTAGCCCATGTTTGTGTGTTGGCAAAATATCTCATGAACCAGCTAACTTACTTCAATGAAACTCATTAGCAGCACAACTGATTAACGTCTGGAGTCGATACAATGCAACATGGCTGTCGCAGCTAAGTGATCTTGAAAAAAAAATACAAAAATGACTTGAACTCTGTTTTGCAGATAAAATTTGGTGCGACGGTAGCCGACATCGTTTTCCTATTTCTGTTTGTAGTGTACTGATCACTGATTTGTTCCTAAAACTGAACCATTAACTGTTGGCGTCAACTATGTTTGTCTGTTAGCAAAATATGTCATGAACCACTTCATGGATTTGAATGAAACTCTTACAAAGTAAATATTAAAACTACCATCTACTGTAAAATTGTTTAACTTTTAGAGTTAACCCAATTTAAAATGGCTGCCACAGCTAATTTACCACAACTAGCACAAAATGCTTCTGACTCGCTCAGTTTTACAGCTACCGAGCTCCAGTTTGGTGTGGTAGCAGCTGAGGGTCACCCTCAATACATAGGTTGAGCACTAACTAATCTCACAATACTGAATGGGATTGTGCACAGCATCCAATTTAAAGTTTGACCAGAACCTTTTCGTTACAAGACGATCATTTAAAACTCCAGCATAACAGGGAGCCATCAGGCCTTTAACTCTTTACGCGACTAAAGGGCAGCAGAATAAATCCAGATGTGCTCTTTGTTGAGAAAGGCTGAACCACACACCTCATCAAAGGGTTCACAGTCACTTATTACAATGCTTGGACGGAAACGCTCCACGGTGACTTCCTTTTCCAGCTTGCTGCTGAGATCCTTAACAGAAGCTTCGGACAGCAGCATCACCGGTGCGATATCAGGGTACGCCACCTCCTGGATACATGAGGAGATTCATGCTTTCACTTGGAAGAAGCAGAGTGGAACATCAAGGCAGAAAAAAAAAGCAGCACATCCACATGAAGCAAAGATGTGGTACCTCAGACTTCGGGAAAAGAGGCTCCATCTCAGCTGGTCTCCTGGGCTTCATCTGAGGCTCAAAGTGCACCAAACGAAAAGTTTTCTCAGCCCCGAGAAAACTTGTGAACCAGTGAGATACGTTGTCCCCACAGTCTCTGCCTTGAACATCCATACTGAACACTCTGAAAGCAACAAGAAGCTTTACAGTCTAAAACCACAATTGGTTTAAAACTGGAAAAAACACGAGATTTAAGACAAAACGAGTGAACTGGCTGACGTTTCTCTAACTTTTTACGAGTACCATATCAAATACTAAGCTGTTTTTGTTTAGGCACATTGTTAGAGAAATAAGGCGTGTTGGTTAGGACTTAATTTGTAAACCAATCGATGCCAGAATGCAAATAGCGGGTGGGCGGTGCAGAAAATAAATTATGAAAGTAAATTGGACGGTCTTTTCAACATTTTGATTACCGTTACTTTGACAAATTAACACCGTTGTTTTGATACGTGATTAATGTGAATAATACACATCAAACATTTCTCTCATATTTTTTTTAACTGTAAGCTTTTGTATTTATTATGTGTGAAATGTTCACATTGCCTGTAGTAAGTCGGACCCCTTCAGGGTGGTAGTTGAACTCCACCAGGGCTGCCCGTTGTCACAGATTCTGTTCATAACTTTTATGGACAGAATTTCTTGGTGCAGCCATGGGGTGGAGGGTTTTCAGTTCGGTGGCCTCAGGATTCCTTCTCTGCTCTTTGCAGACGAGTGGTCCTGTTGGCACCATCATGTCGTGATCTCCAGCTCTCACTGGAGCAGTTTGCAGCAGAGTGTGAAGCGGTTGGGATGAGAATCAGCAACTCCAAATCTGAGGCCATGGTCCCCAGTCAGAAAAGAGTGGGCTGTTCTCTTCAGGTCAAGGGTGAGGTTCTGTCTCAAGTGGAGGAGTTCAAGTATCTCTGGGTTTTGTTCATGAGTGAGGGAAGAATGGAGCATGAGATTGACAGATGGATTGGTGCAGCGCCTGCAGTATTGTGGACTCTGTACCGGTTCGTTGTGGTGAAGAGGGAGCTGAGCTGTAAGGCAAATCTCTCTGTTAACCACTCGGTCTGTTCCTACCCTCACCTATGGTCATGAGCTCTGGGTAGTGACTGAAAGAATGACATCACAGATATAGGCAGTTGAAATGTTTCTTCCGCAGGGTAGCTGGACTCTCCCTTAGAGAAAGGGTGAGAAGTTCAGTTATTTGGGAGGGACTCAAGAGTAGAACCACTGCTCCACCCCATCGAGGAGCCAGTTGAGGTGGTTCAGGCATCTGGTAAGGATGTTTCCTGGGTGCCTCCCTAGGGAGGTGCTTTGGGCATGTCCAACTGGGAGGAGACCAGTGACAAGCTGGAGAGACTATGTCTTTGGTTGGTCTGGGAACTCCTTGGGGTTCTCCCAGAAGAGCTGGAAGAGGTGGCTGTGGAAAGAGATGCCTGGACCTCCTGCTCAAGCTGCTGCCCCCTCGACCCAACTTTGGAACAAGTGGAAGATGATGGATGGATGGATGGATGGATGGATGCAGTAGTTTTGACACATCAGCAGTTGTGCGTGCGCTCTGTAGAACTGTCTGGAGATGCTCCTGTGCGTAACGTGCACTGTCTGCAGGGTGCAACACTGAAGTTGTCGGATGAAGTCACTTCATCCCTGCTGCGTCTCTGCTGGGAAGGAGCGTGTGCACGTGCTGTGGCCAGAACATCCACTCCACAGACTGGGTCCACCTGACCGAGGACAACGTCTCCTCTTGTTGTGTTTTTAATAAATAATAAAAATGCATGATGACTTTGGACTTTTAGGGGCAGAGAAGAGTTGCCAGATCTGAGAAAACAGTTGCTGGAACGCACCCTGTCAAAATGAGAGAGTTCCCAGATCTTGTTCCGGCAGGATACGGCTCAAATAACGAATGTAAAGAATCAAAAACCTGCAGTTGACAATGGGGTTGTTGGGCTGATGGAAGGGAAACTTCAGCTCCTCCATATCTGGTCCATTCAAAACACCGCAACCTCCTTCGAAGGTCAGAGACACCAAGACCAGACGGGACTCCTGTCTGGCTGTCACCATGTTGCCTTCTTCATCCACCACCAGCCAGTGTCTGCAACCACAACACAAACAAAGGCAGCTTTTAAAATATCTGGTTGTATTTCTGCATGAGGGCTCTGAAGCCTGCTCTCTGAAGGTGCAACAAAAAGCCCACAAGTCTGGACCGACAGCATCTCACCCTGCTGGGACACGGACAGTGATTTTAGTTTATTCTTTTTTGTATTTGTTGTTTTAACTTGTTTTGCAGTTTGAGCTGAATGTAAGTGGACAAATCCTGAAATACAAGAGTTTACACATCCATTTCAATTCAGAAACCCAAATTAAAAGAGACACTGAATGCAATCCACACAGATTTATTTCCTCACGTCAGAGCAAACAAGCAAATCAATAAGCCACAACTAAAGTAAATTGAGTAAAGCAACTCTTTACATAAATGCACGTCTCACTTATGTCACATAACAATTTCCACATGTAAAGTTTGTATGGTTTTTCAATCAGAGTCCGAGTGCTAAGTGTTGCATAAAATAATCCAGATAAATTAAAAGTTTAGGACTTTCAGCTGGAAGCAGTAGAGAATGTTTAACAACCAGTCCAAAGTCCAAATAACTCTCCACAAGTACTCTTATATAATTAGACTAGCGGTTCTCAAATTGTTTAGCTTTTGCCCCAAATAACAATAGTAAAAACTAAATGCATCTACAAAAGTTTTGCTAAAGTGTCCTATTGACAATACAAACAGCTTAAACTCATTAAACTGCTTATTTATTTATTTATTTATTTATTTTTTTTACATTCATGACTATTTTTTTTTTATTTTTATGTTTTGTAACCATTTTTGTTAAAATATGCTTTTGGAGATCATTTTAAAATTTTGGTTTGTGCTTAGAGAGCACTTCAGGACCCCTAACTTGGAGTTTTGTGATCTACAGTGATGACCTGAACCCAAACTTCAATTCAATTCAGTTTTTTGCTATAGCGCCAAGTCACAACATCTCAGAGCACTGAACAGAAATATTCAAATACATAAAAAGTAAGTTGACATTATTTATCTGAAGAACAGACTGCTTTGAATTTATCTCCAACGCAGAACTCTCATTTTGAGCAAGCATGAAGGCGACAGTGGGAAGGAAAAACTCCCTCGTGAGGAAGAAACTTTTAGCAGAACCAGGCTCAGGACGAGCTTCAACCGGCTGGGTTTGAGAGGAACAGATACACAATGGCAGGTCAAGTATATTAGGGAGTGGTGGCGCAGAGGCTAGAGAAGGTGGGCCTGTGATTGGAAGATCGCCGGTTCACGCCCCGGTACCGACAACACACAAAAAATGTGGGTGGGGTAGGTGAAGCACCCACACTTGCCCCCACCCTCATTCACTCCACTCTGGGCCCATGAGCAAGGCCTTTAACCCCCATCTGCTCCCTAAACAGGTCTCTCTTGAAAATGAGTTCTCGTGGCTCAATGAGACTTCCTGGATAAATAAAAGGTTAAATAATAAAAAAAAGTATCACATTAAGAAATAGTATCAAATGAAAACTATTCAATTGTAACAATTAATTTTAAAAAATTAGGTCAATTTGTCCTCCAGTAGTCTAAGCATATAGCAGCATAACAAGGCAACCCTAACTATAGGATTTATCAAAAAGGAAAGTCTTAAGTCCAGTCTTAAAACTGGACAATGTGTCAGCCTCACGGACAGAAACTGGAAGTTTGTTCCACGAGAGAGGAGCCTGATAACTGAAGGATCTTCCTCCCATTCTGCTTTTGGAAACTCTAGGGACCGTGAGTAAACCTGCAGTCTGAGAGAGAAGTGCTCTGTTAGGAAAATATGGAACAATAAGATCTGTAATATAAGATGGAGCTAGGTTGTTGAGAGCTTTGTAGGTTAGAAGTAAGTTTTGGTTGTCAGCAGCAAACTGGTTGATCCACTCTGAGAATGAGCTATTTATAAGACTGAGCTGAATACAGCACCTCATACTGAAGAAGTCTTTCGGATGAAAATTGGGGTTTGTTTTGTTTTGTTTTCTTGAATGTCCAGAGGACCAGACTTAACTTTTTAGAGGTTAGAAGTAGGATTTTGAATTCAATTCTGGACTTGACAGGGGAACCAGTGGAGAGAAACTAAAACTGGAGAGATATGATCTCTCATTAAGACTCTGGCAGCAGAATTTTGGATCAACTTTTCTGCATCATTTTTAGATGTTTCTAATTTTAGCGAGAAGTGGAAGAAGGCGGTTCTGGTACCAGTGCTGTGGACCTCCTTTCAGATCAGGTGAGGACTGTGGATAGAAAAGGTGCGTCTTGTTGAATTTTGGAAAACATTATAAGATAAGAGTTCTCTTTAATGGAAAACACTCATGTATGTCAGAGGATTAAGTTTGAACGACTAATCCAAATTGCTCAAAAATGAACCAGCGACAACCACAGGTGAGGTCACCTATGGAAATTGCCTACAAAATAAATAAACTTTTTCAAAATGTTGCTCACCGATCCTCCAAGTTTCCAGACTTCAGCCCTAATTTCAGACATTCTGCGACACTCACAGGCACCGCTTTCCCAGACTTCAGGGGGTGAATGAGGAGCTGCGACACTACGCCCACACGAGCCGCTTTTTCTGGTTTCCGCATGTATTTATATCCGAGTCCAAATCCCAGAAGTGCAGCTCCGGCTGCGCCGATCAGAAGGGCCGCTTTTTTATTCTGGGCCAACGCGCTCGCAGCCTCCGTCACATCCATTTTGGAGCCTCGCACACTTTCTGAGACTCTGAACGTTTCATTAAAGAGACAGCCGCACGGGAGTGAGACGTTCACGGACACTCGGTCAGCAGCCACACGGCCCGCAGGGTTTTATCAATTTTTTTTAAATCACGCTAAGGCCACCGTACACTTTGATTTGATCGACTTCTCATTTAGCTAACAGAACTGCTAACAAATTACCGCCAGCTGTTGACCGCGTTTGGCCTCAAAATCAACTAAATTAATCGAAGCTGAGTAGCAGCGACCTCATCAACAGAGCTTACGCACAAAAAGTTGCGTACGCCATTTTCCACGCACAGGTCGGATGGATCAAAGCGAACCTGCGTGAAAGTGTGCGGGTCCACGGTATCAAAGTAGAAAGTACCGAAACTTATGTCAATACACCAAATTACGACTGCGTTTAGATTTCTGAACGATTTTAAATACAATGTTTATTTTTTTTCATTTATGAGTTCAATCTGAACAAGGAAATTGAACCATATTCAACCTATGGGGGAGTGGTGGCACAGAGGTTAGAGAAGGCGAGCCTGTGATTGGAAGGTCACCTGATCAACTCCCCGGACCGTCACCATCAAAATGTGGGTGGAAAAGATGAAACACTCACACCTGCCTCCACCCTCATTTGCCCCACCCTGGGCTCTGTAGCTCTGTGGTGAGGAAGGGAGCAGCCAATTGAAAAATATATATTCAACTTAAAAAATGTGTATACCACGCCTCAGACATGATCAAAACAACCTCACTACAATATAAACTGTAAAGTTTCTTTGTCACATGTCTGTGATCACACCCGTTAGGTGTACAGACAGATGAGGAGCACATGGATCATCTCATGGGCATTTTCATTCTCAGTGATGTATATAATCTGTAATAGACAATCTGTCGAAGTGAGTTGAATTTAAACAGCTGAAGTTTTTGCTAAAAGCTAATTCTAGCTAAAGTAAAACAACAACAAAAAAAAAATGTAGCTAAAAATTAAAATCAGATAAAACTAACTAAAAGTAAACAGCAGCGCAGGACTAAAAACTAAAAGTAGTCAGTCAACTTTATTTATAAAGCACATGTAGAACAGCAGCTGTTAACAAAGTGCTTAACAATAAAATCAATGGGAGTAATTTAATAGAAAAAAATAATGATAGTGAAAATTAATTACAATTAAACTTACTGCGCAGAAGTATCAAAACGATAGCTCAACGCTAAAAGTAGCAAAAGAGTAAAGTAAAACAGGTTAAATGAAATTAAGGTGCTGAATAGCTAATTATTTAACAAGATAATTGAGCAGAACAAAGCTGGAAAACGCCTTTTGCATGTTTTGAGCTGGTGCCAGAAGCTTAGAGACCGTGTTTCTTTAGCCATTCCCATCTTAAAAAACAAACGGAAATTGAATTTGATTTTAAAAAATCTTATTTGATCGTTGGCGTTTGTCTCAAAAAGTAGAAACTAAAATGCAGCTTAAACACTCTAGATGACGCAATTAAAACTTAGAGTGAACAGAAAGCGAAAGCTGTGTAAGAAGCTGCAGTAATATGTTCTGGATTGAAAAGTTACATTTAGCTAGAGAGCTAGCAGAGATGCTGTCACCTGTTTCAAATGGTAAAGGTGGCAGAGTTATCATTAATAGGAATATTACTGTATTTTCCGGCGTATAAGTCACAGGTTTTTTTGCATAGATTTGTCAGTCCTGCGACTTATACACCGAAGCAACATATATATATATTTTCCATTTTCGTAACGCAATTTTTGACTGATGCTTTAAAGTTTTATGAACGGTAACAATAAGTCCTCCCGTGCACGCTTGCTTCACTCAGCTGGTGCAGGCGGAGGAACGCTGGAGAGTTAGTGGCTCTGGCTGCGATGGATGGATGGATGGATGGTGCTGCACCGCCCAGGTGAAATTAAGCTGTTTTGACCATTAAATGCGACTTATACTTTGAAGCGATTTATATATGTTCTTTTCCTCTTCATGATGCTTTTTTTGACTGATGCGATTTATACTCCAAAGCGACTTATACGCTGGAAAATACGGTAATAGGAACCTCTTTTCCTTGCTTGCTGAAGAAGCAGACACCCTGTGGCTGTGATTGGTTCAACACTGTCAGCTTTCTCTGAATAGCAAACATTGGCTCAACCGCTCAGAAGATACTGTGCTCACAGGGTTTGAACCATTTCTCTTAAACTGCTACATAACTCTGTCAGAATCAGATACTGCAGTTCCTATGAAGATATTGTTTGATACAAGACTGTCTAAGTCCATATGTTTGCAGGTTGTTTCTTTCTGATGACGCTTTTATAAGGGATGTCTTAATCCAGGGGTGTGAAATGTCTTCTCATCACCTCAGAAAACCCCGGTTAAAAAAAAGGAGTTGATCTAATTCTAGGCAATACTCTTGCTGGTGAAGAGGTGTCTGACATACAGTAGTATCTGTAAAAAGGTCAAATCAGAAGGCTTTAATGTTAAAATATTCTTGTGTTGAAAACAGACAACATTGTAGCTGATTTGGTCAGACTTTGCAAATGATATGCAACATTGTGAAATGCCAACAATAATGGCAAATTATTTGTAAAACTGACTAGATTATAGACATTTTTGTTTTGGCTATGTTCACTTAGCTGTCGTTAGCTGCCTTGAACTGGACTCCTGAAGTTAATCAATTGCAGATGCACAACCAAGAAAATATCTTGCTAACAGACAAAGCTGACTTCAACATTTAATGTCAACATTTTGACCAGCATTATTGTATAATGTGTTGTGTTTTGAGTATGTGTTGGGAAAAAATGCCCAGCCATTACCACACCACATTTTAGCACAATATCATTAGAATTAAACTGAAAATAAACGTTTGTTGTTTTTAGGGTCAGTTTTCTGTGACAGCCATCTTAAGTTTGGTTGACGTCAAGAGTTTTAGTGCTAGATATACATGTGATGAATACTTTCTAAGAGTTTCATGGAAATGTGTCCTGTGGTTCGTGAATTTGAGGATGGGGGGGGTCTTAAAAACAGTGTTGGCTCTAGGAGTAAATGGCTTTTTTTTTTTTTTTTTTACCTTAGTATAAGTTAGTGGTGACTCTTGGCCATTATCACACCAAACTTTATCTCTGTGTAAAATTAAACTGTAGCCATTTTTGTCTTTTCTAAAGTTTATTAGCTGTAACATCCATCTCAAACCCAGCTGACACTTAAAGTTTATTATTCGTAGACGTGAACCCAAAGATTAATTTCTGAGAGTTTCATTGAAACCCACTGATTGACACACAGACATGGGCAAAATCATTGGTGCCTCTCATTTTCAGTTGTGGCATTAATAACAAAACACACAGGAGCCTCTTCCAGTTCAGAAAAGGCATGAAACAAACTTTCAAGTGTTTCAGAGTTTTCCCAAACACTTTACTGTATTTATCAAGTGGCGTGACGTCATAGCTGACCTTCTCTGAGGACCTATTTTTGTCTTTGACATAGATACTCAGGTCTGTGGCCAAAGTAGAAAACAGCAGATGCCATAGCTATAGGGGGTCAATACAAGGATCTGTCCAGTGGACACTCCTTCTGTTGCTCCTCTGTGCTCCATGTCTAATAGCTCAAGGCAGATTCAGAGGCACAGGACCAGTTCTCACAATCTGGTTCAGTATTGCAGTGTGGAGCAAAATCTGATAACGAGATACAGTTCCTTTGATATGAACATTTTTGTATTTGACTGTGTCAAAAACAATTTTTTTTTAATTTTGTCTTGATTAAATACCTTGCATTTATATAATACTACATTTTTAAAGTATTTTTTGAAGGGGTAGTCTGTTTTTGAAGTAATGTGTGAATGAAAAACACTGTAAAGTGCTTTGTATGGATGATTCAAAGATGTTTGGCCGCAGAAGCAGGAGATGAGTTTTGCACAGAACAAAGCTTCACCTATAAAGCACCTGGTATAGAAATAGTATGGTGGGATTGCATCATGATTACAGGAACTTCAGCACTCGGTGTCTGATGAGCCAAATTACAAAATATATATTTATTTATTTATTTAATATAATGATGCTTTCAAGCACAATAATGATACCTCGCCAAGGAATGAGTCACAAACAACAAACGGAGGAGTGCAGAAAAGTTAAGTCATTTTTGTTTTATTTATTTATTTTGCTGAAGGAAGCAAGACTTAGACGAGAGGTGAGACTATCTGTGAGCAGCAGTATGGTTTCATGCAGAGAAAGAGCACCGCAGATGCCATCTTTGCTTTGTGGATGCTGATGGAGAAGTACTGTAGAGGGTCAGAAAAAACTCCATTGTGTCTTTGAAAAAAAAAAAAAAAAAAAAAAAA